GATGCGCTTCCTGATACAGGAAGTACTCGTGATAGGTATCGGAGCATTTAGGCAAGTACGAGTACTCACCCAAATACTCGGTATCGGCACCGATACCGATACTAGTATCGGTATCGGTGCATCCCTAGAGAATATATATATATATATCAAATCATACATTAAAATAGGGATGCACAAATCCCAGGAGCCCCGTATGATCCTTGAAAATGACAGCTGCCTCCTAACTTTTGAGTTTTTCTCTAGTGTAGTCTTGGAGCTGGAAAAGTATCAGTACTTGTACCAAGTATGGTACTTGGTATGTGAGCATCCCTAATCCAAATGATTCAATCAGGGAGGAAGATGATGGCGTGGGACAAAGCATGTGGCAGTGAAGCAGCAGAATGCCGCAGGGTAATGCTGGACATGTGAGTATGTTTTTTGAAGATGACCCTGCATGGAAGGTCTAGTTCCTCTTTAAATACCAAACCTTTAATAAAGAGCAGTAGTCAGGGTACGGAAGTTACTTTTATAAAACTAACCAAAATGCAGTAATGTTTAGTAAGTTATAGCACAAGATGTTAGATGCCTAAATAGTAGCTCCAGAGAAAAACAACCAGTATGGTGCATAATATCAAACTATATCCCATTTTTTGGTAACGTTAGAAATATCAGCACTAAGGGTTTCAAACCATTCTGAGTCCAGAAAGCATTCCAGGAAGATGTGATTGCAGACAGGCGTCTAATTCTCGAGAGGCCTGTATTGATGTGGAACATTGCTTTTTCTGCCAAATAGTGTATCCAGAAAGCAAAACACATACAAAGAGGTAAATACTTGTGTTTAAAACAAGACATGGGTAGATATCAACATAATCACAGCTAAGGTTGTACAGATTCTTCTTACAGCTTTTGCAGGATACATTCCAGCCTTATGCAATGAAGTGAACCATTTCACAATTCACATTTTCATTCAAGGCCATAGTTCATGTCTTAGTTAAACTGTTGTAGATTCAAGGCTGATTTCAATCAATTTGTCTGGAATTTGGATGCCAGTATGGGAAAATTGATTCCTTTGTCAGTAAGGCAATTTATTATGACAGCAGATTAGCGAGATTTAAATCTTTCTTTGTTCACACATCTCAAAACATCATGAAGGGAATTTATCAAAACTGGAGCAGACAAAATCTGGAGCAGCTGTGCATGTCAACCAATCAGCTTTTCTCTTTCATTTTCAAATTTTAACTGAAGAAACTGAAGAGAGCAGCTGATTGATTGCAATGGGCAACTGCTCCAGATTTTGTCTGCTCCAGTTTTGATTGACCCCCACCCCCCACATGTCTTTTCCACACCATTGATACATTTGTATTGTGAAGCAGGGTAATGAGATAATAAACCTTGTAAATAGTCCTTATTATGTATCCCGTTCTGTACTGTATATATATGCTGGGCACCTGGTGGGCAATGTTCAGATCTTGCTGGAAGCCATGGTGTTTGTATGGTCTTTGTTTATTTACAGTTGACCACTGAATGTACATATGCACACATTTCTCTATTGTCGAGAGTAGGCCACTGCAGGCATGAAACTGGGTGAACTCAAAACAATTTCTACAGGTGAAATTGACAGAGAATGTAAAAACAAACTTAAAAATGTAAGCAAATAGAACAAGGTTCCAAAAATCCAATTACCTCAATCTATTGGAAAATCCACTGTACAAATAATTTAGAGTAAGGTACATCTATGTACGTGATTGTATGATGTGAATAGTTTTATTACAGTGACTGTGTCATGAGGAAAGTAAAGCTGGCCTTCAAAATAAAAAGATAGTTGCCTGGCTGCATTCTAAAGTGACACTAAACGCAGTTAATCCTTAGAAATGCATTTAAGTACCCTAACTATTAACAAATGTACCTTATTTGTGTATCACTCGGCTGTAGATCCTCAAATCATCTCTGAATTGGTGCTGACACTGTCCTTCCTTCTGGAGGGTGGCTACTTTTCTTCCCCATGGTTCATGTGTGGGTTGTAAAGTAGTCCAAGCTCACTCCCGTGATGGACAACAATCTCCAAAAGGAAGGACAGTGTCAGCACTCAGCACCGATTAAGAGATGATTTGAGGATCTACAGCCAACTGATACACTGTCCTTCCTTCTGGAGGGTGGCTACTTTTGTTCCCCATGGTCCCTGTGTGTGATGTAAAGTAGCCACCTCTCCAAGCTTGCTCCCATGATGGACTACAATCATAAAATTGTAGCCCATTACAGGAGTGAGCTTGGGGCAGTGGCTACTTTACAACACGCACGGGGACCATGAAGAAAAAAAGTAGCCACCCTCCAGAAGAAAGGACTGTGTCAGGAGCAATTCAGAGATGATTTTAGGATCTACAGTCGAGTGATACACAAATAAGATACATTCCTGTTAAAAGTTAGGACACTTTTTTAGGGTTTAATGCCTGAGTTTAGTGTCACTTTATGTGCTTTTAAATCACAGAGCCAGAACTTTACCCACATAATGTATAGCTGAGCTTGGGGAAATTTGTCTGCTTCTAAATTTTACATTCTGTTGCTTAGACTTTGTAGCTAGTGGGGAGGAAAAGACTGGTACATGAGGTCTGTCCTGTTCAAGCTGCATTAAAGGTTTTCAGGGGAGTGTGCCACTTATGTATGATGAAGTCATGCTACAGTAGAAACCGATCAAGGGTGTTTGAAAAAGGAAATCTCACGAACATACAAGATGGTGGCAACAGCCCTGCCACCAATTGATAGAGGAATTGATGTGGGAGGATTTTTACTAACTTTAAAGTATTTGTAATGTATATTTCACAATTATGTATTTGTAAATGAAATAATAGATCTGGTCAGATACTCACCCATACCCATAAGCACTGGGTATTTAGTTCCTACAGAGAACAGAATTGTGGGGGAGCACAGGAAAGGTGAGTATAAGTGGGTCTGAGTGTGGGTTTTCAAGAGATTTTGTCACTTTGCTCTGAATGGGCAGCTTGACCGAATTTTATAAAGGTGACTACAAACCAGTAAGAACTTTAAGTGTAATCATCAAAAGGACCTGCTCAAAGAATCCATTCAATTTGTGTCCATTTAGGTAGGCCCCCACATTACATTTAATTGATAACATTTACTCATGAAACAGATTAGGTCTAAGAAGCATCTAACTATTGTTTGCCCAGGTTTAGACTGCAGCAACAGAACTTGATTGTCCCACACGTGTTTTTGTCAAAGGTGCCATCAGTGACCCTTTCATTTTAGTGTGGGAATTCTCTTACATTTGTTTAAGAAAACCTATCACCTTATCACCTGCAGGTAAGCACAGGAGGTGCAAAGTAGCATGACATTCTTAAATGCATTATGTAACAGGCCACATTCCCTTGGTAAGATTAATTGCAGCTTTTCCATAGAAAACTACATGATAAGGATTTGTGTGAAGACTTATTGTGGGAATCCCGCATGTTTAAGTCTTTAATGCTTGTCAGTTGGTGCACCTGCAAGATGAAATATACAGTATGGTGCTCACACACAGACCTCCCAGATTAAATGCAGCACGTCTAGAATGTCCGACTTTGACATTCTTTCTTAAGCACACAGTGTCAGTGGAATGAAGAGTCTTCTCATGCTGGATTAGTTCTGTGCTTAGAGGTAAAATAGGGCTTAGATTAGGTAGCATGGATTTATTGTCACAGAACACAGTAGACATTGCTTAGATAGTTTACCGACTTATAGGACCGTGGCAACAACTGCAAAGAGCTATCTCAGGTTCCACTCTTGTTTCATAACTATTGACATCCAACCATCTCTCCAGTGAGAAAATCTCTGCTATTACTTACAATATATTATTGAGACTTCTGTGTGACTGTTTTCCTGACCTGTCTTAAAATTCTCTGGATTTTTATTCTCTTGTGGCAGCAGTTCAATTTACAACACAAGGGAATACATTTTCTAAATGGGGTTTAACATTTAATCTTTACATTCCTCCTAGAGTAGGTGTACTCAGCTGCCCATGCCCCATCCCCATGCCTTTTAAATTCATTGAATAGGGGCAGCCTATATTGGAACTTAACTATTCTACCCAAATGCTGTGCATAGCATAGTTTCTTTCTGGTTTTTCCAAATCATATCCCCAGAAAATAAATATAATTAGTATATAAATGCATTATACTTACTCTAACAGTTAGTTATTTAATATCTTAACTGGCTTGAAATGTGGTACTTAAAGGTGATGTCAAACATTAGAGAACATACACCCTCTCCAGCCATTTATAGTCGGATCAGGTAACATTTCTATGTCTATAGGCCTTACTTGAGTGCTGAGCCTGCAAAGAGGAAGAATTGATCAGCCTGGATAGATTTTCCTGGTCAATCCCTAATGTTTACCTGTCATAGACAAGCTTTTCCGTGCTTATTTGTCCCTTACCATAAACACAAATCTACACTATGAGAACTTTCATGTTTGCATGACAGCAGGATAATACAGTACATGCCCTCCATTGTCTGTAGGTACTTTAATTGAATAGGTGGCCTAAAACTCTACAAGTTACAAAAAAAAACAGTTTAACTAGGGTGTGTCTAGGGTACACAGGGGTTAGGTAGCCTTAAGCATATGGCCTAATATTTAATTTTTTCATAAAATATGGCCTAATATTATAGCCTAATATTAAGATTTCAACGTGTGGCTATCTACAGTATATCATACAAAATGTCAATACTATAATTACCTTATGTTTTTCTTTCCTCATAGTATGAAAAGAAGCTGGTGATTAAATAAAACGTACAATATTATTCAAAGCTATAATACGTATTGTTGGCTTACAGCAACTTTTGCACTGCCAATAAATTAGTTATAGTTATAATCCAGATCAGGAATCTGGGAGACCCACCGAAGATTTTCCCTGCTATGACTACAAAATGTAAAAGAAATATTAAAAATAAACAGTAAGAAAACCCGCAGATGTGGGAAAAATAATTACATACATTGCATTGAAAGCTATCTTTTTAATATTGTATGTTTACAGTTCCACACCATGAAAACAACATATTTTACCATTTTGACGTTGAAAGAGGGCTGAGCGCAGATGAGAATGAAGAAAATGATGATCCAGGTAAAGAACTTCTTTTAAAAGAAATTGTATTACTGACAACGATGCATGCAGCCTGCAACACCTATCAATGTTCTTTGTATATTTTCTTTTCAGGTTGAATGGAATGTATTACTGCATTATGGTCGCTAGATCGAACTGATGAGCACAGAAAATAAGTATTTACTGTATATCCTATGCTCCTCAACTCCATCTCGTGAGCATAATGCATTATTACATTACATTCGACTCCTTCATATCCTACACTTCCAGAATAACATGTACTTTTTGCTGATCCTATTCCTTTGATATCTAATAGTTCAAGAAGTGCAAGTTACCCCAGAGAATTGGTATTACGACTCTGTCACTGATTGACTGGCTACACACATTATACTATGTTTAGTTTCAGTCCACTCAATTTATTTTTCATCAATATTACTTTTTTTTACAAGCTGTCAGGCAAATGCTGCCCAGCAGCCTGTCTTACTGCTTCACATGCAAGATACATTTCTGTTTGTTTGTATAGCTGTGATGCTAGGCCAGCCATTTGTGTGAATATAATCTGCTGGAACCCATTGCAGGAGTTACTTCTAACTTGATATAGAACTGCATGTCACACTAAACAAAGCTTTACATATTGAAATTAAAGTGGAATCCCAAGCAATCACCTAAATACTTGGTCCAGTTAGCAGGGAGATGGTACAGGAAGCAGTGGAGCTATACCTGGAAGTAGTAGAGTGATCTTATAGACTCTGCAGTTTGGTGAATCTGTGTGAATAATAGTTTGGTATAATTGCTATAGACTACTGCACTTTCACTTGTAACTATATTCTTTACACTGCTTTAATTAACACGCCTTCAGTTCTTCAGTGTTTCAGTGTTCTATAGAGCAATTATACCAATGTTGCATTATAATTCTCTTAATTTATGTTCTTCCGATGTTGCCTAGCCATAAACATGGAATTGTGTTCTGAAGATCTGACTGCCACATAGTTCGTTCAGTTCGATTTGCTCTGCTCATGTTTACAAGGAGAGCTGGGTGGATTTAGGGGGAATCACTGACAAGGTTTTTGGCTTTAACACGTACCCTCACTTTCAGTTTCCTTAAAATGATATTAAAGCGTTCTCCCTCCACCCCATGCATGCTCACTCCTGGCCGTGCCCGCAAGTGGCTGTGTGCATCCATAGACACACACAGCCCTGCGGCAGGCCATGCTCCTCCCCTCAGCCCAAGAAGAGAAGAGATACTGTGGGGGACAGAGGTTTACCAGATACCTTCTGCAACCAGGAAGTTCAGACGGAGGATCGCTTCGGGGACCGGCGGCGGTGACGAGCAGCGCTGACAGGTAAGTGAGGGGGAGGAGGGGGGACACAGTAAGGTACTGGGCGTTTTTTACCTTAATGCAGAGAACGCATTAAGGTGAAAAATGCCTCACCTTTAGTAATACTTTAACCTTAGTGGGCCCTTATGCCTTTCCCCTATATACAGTACATGGAAAGCACATATTTCTATGACCCCCATGCCCTACGCTTATATTGCCTGTGTCTTAGAAGAGCTGGATTTATCACATAGTGGAAAATACTGTTTTAGGGGCAACTTAAAAATTGGTATCTTATAAAACATTTTTTACTCTCTGTTGACTACACATGCAGATGTGCATATTAAATGTAAACCCAGCCTCTCTTTTCTTTCTTACTCATTGCAACTAATATAACACCCTATTTATTATGAAACTGCCATTGTTTCCTTTTCTTACCCATTCTGTAAATGTTAATACCTGTTTAGCAGTGTGGTTAGCATTTTCTTGATTTTTCTTTTTAAATGTTTTCACTGATCACTAAAACCGTGGGAAGTCGTAAATCTCTATATTTATTCTAATTTTTTGTTTGGTCACATTGCTATTTTACTGGGTATCTTCTTACATTCTACGTTTACTTAAAAGCCTTCTTTTTGTGTATGCCTCACCTTTGTCTTCTGTAGGAGTATTGATCCACAGCTGCAATTTTGACAATGGACTGTGTGGCTGGATTAGAGATAAAGACAATGATTTACACTGGGAACTTGTCAAAGATGCTTCAGGTAAGGTCTCCCCTTGTTCTGCAAAGTATGGAAGCATGTAATTCATTTCTAACAGGGTTATTCACAAAAGGGTGAAGAGTTTGGAGAAGGCAGGAGAAGTGAACAATCTAGGACAACATAGCTGAACTGTAAAGTTAGCTGAAATGGAGAATTTTTCCAAATCAGCTATGTTGTCCTAGATTGTTCACTTATCCTGCCTTCTACAAACTCTTCACCCTTTTGTGAATAACCCTGTATGTGTTCATACTTCCTGAAATAAATATGTTATGAAAATGTCCATGAATCATTCACACTAGCAAGTGCAATATTTAGATTGAAAATATTAAGCTATATGCTAAAATCAGAAACCTTGTAAGATCCCCCCATGTTACATTTGAGTGCATTCTGCTTTACCAGAATATGTGCCATGTAAAAAGATGATACAGATGAAATGCTGTAAAAACATTGTGTTGTGACTAGGTTATTAAACAACTATAGCCACTCTATTTGTATATCATGTGAAAGGGTTAGAACCTTTTTTTGTGCTTTTATAGTTGTGCGTGTGTTCACTGAGGAAATGTCCCCCAACTTTCTGTCCCAGTGATCATACAAGACATTAGGAGAAATATTATCAATGGGTTCACAGACCAATAACAACCTGGAAGATATCTTATCTCTTCCCACTCTAAACTTTGAAACTAGAAAAAGAAAAAAAGACAATTTGGTATTCGTTCACCTTTCAGGTCTATTTTCATGCAGCAAAACTCATGCATTTTGCTGCATAAAAATGCATTCCAAGTAGAATACGGTTTCTTTCCTAGGTGGCTGGTTTACATCTACTGTATGTGCTGCAGTTTAGTGTCAAAGGGGAAGCAAAATTATACAGGCATATTCACATCATGTGTGTGTTACCACGTGGACTGCACTGCACATGAAACTATGCAAGTTCATCATTTATATAGATGTTAGTTATTCAGTGATGATTTCCATGATGGTCCTTAAACTCTGATGTGAGACCCGCAGCATGGGTCAGTAACGGTGTTCAGTGTTCTGTATACTCTTTGCTTGTACACATTTGAATACAGCAGACTAAATGATTCATTCTGTACTATTAAATTGCGTCAGCCCAGTTTATTTCTATAGATGAACCATATTGCAGCCATCCTGTGGAATTTGGTTCACCCAGAGAAATGAACAGGGACATAATGTGCATGTGCACTCAGAAAAAGAGATAGGACGGAGACTTTTATGGAAGAAAGCATGTGCAGTGTTAATCAGAATTGCACAGCAAAGATCAATTGAGCATGGCAGGCTGCACTTATGAGAGTGAAAGGATATTTTGCCATGCACAGCTGCTCCAGATTTTGTCTGCTCCAGTTTTGATAAATTCCCCCAATTGTACTTTCAGCTCTAAATTCCCTCCCCTTATCCCCCCTCATCTGCATAACTCCTTCTTGTGCTGAGGCAGAGCGCACAGGAAGTTATCAGTTCACAAGTTTTCTGGAAAAATGAACAGGTATATTTTGCATTTGTCAAACAGGTAGAACAAAAAAAACTTTCAATTATTTAGCCGAACAACATGGTTCGTCTTTTACATTGGGGGAATTTATCAAAAATGGAACAGACAAAATCTGGAGCAGTTGCCTATGACAACTAATTAGCTTCTTTCTTCAGTCTGTTCAGTTAAGCTTTGAAAATTAAAGGAGGAAGCTGATTGGTTTCCATGCACAGCTACTCCAGATTTTGTCTGGTCCAGTGTTGATAAATTCCCCTCATTATGTTTTAAGATACCCATGTTTTATGCACATTTTGATTCTAAAAATATTGGTGTATAATAGCTTTAATTTTCTGGAATCATAATAGCATTAACCCTTCTTATTATCTGAATTGCAATGTTATTCTGAAATGTGATTTGTGCCATGTTTTAGGAGGACAGTATCTAACTGTCATGCAGCCAAAAGGAAAGTCTGGAAAGGTAGCTCGCTTAGTCCTTCCTCTTGGACATCAATCACCTGAAGACCTTTGCCTGTCATTTAGACATTTTATGTCAGGAGAAAATTCTGGCAAACTACAAGTCTTTGTAAGAAGATCTGGAGCACATGGGCCTTCTATATGGGGCAGAAATGGAAGTCACGGTTGGGGAGAGACGCACATAACCTTACCTGGGTCTGGAATCAAAAGTGTAAGTAAAATATATCCTTTTCAGTGCGAATGATTTTGTCAAAGAGGTATATACAGTATATAACGGGCCTGGAGCTGCCGTCTCTAATGTATATACTTTTCCTTACTTGTCATCATCACTGCATATAGTTCTCTCTTACCCTTGAATTGCTTGTCTTCACTATCTTGATACATCCTTTTTATTTTATTTCCAAATACATGGTCAGTCTATCCCATCTCTTCTGGTATAAACATGTAACAGTATACATTCTATCAGGGGTTATCCAGGTGGGTAAGAGGGAATATTAGGCAGCATCCTTTGCTGATGACCTTGCCTCTTCTTCCATATTCAGCCAGTGACCTTCATTCTAAAATCTGCGAAATCTGCAGCCCTAAATGTCACAGTTTCTAGCTCCAATAATCTTCCTTTCCCTTCCAGTTGAGTTGTAACTGCATCAAATACCTAGGTATTTGCTTAGCCACTAGAAAAAACAGACCTATTACAATTAAAAGAGGAAAACATACTTATGTTATTATTTTTTATTTATTACAGGTATTTATACTTGGCTTCTCTCCTACTAACTTTCCTTGAATTAAAAAATACTGCATCCTGTGGTTATGCCAGTCTCACCCTCGTCGTACACTTTCAAAATGTTTTCCATTTGGCCATTAATAAATCAACATTCTCCACATCACCTTAACAATTAATATCACTAAGGAAAAACCCAGAATTTCACCCAAAAATACTTGTATCTTTCTACATTTCTGGCAGCCAATGGGGGTTACATAGTTACATACGTAGGTTGAATAAAGACATTAGTCCATCAAGTCCAACCTATTAGGATCTCATTCTAGGAGTACCAGGTTATACCTTTCCATAGCGTCTTATCTAATGGAACTATAGAGAAGAGGGAATTTGACACCACCTAAGAACCCAAACATTTTGACTAGCAAATCCAAATTGAATTTTATGAGACCACGAACACCATTCAAGTGAATGTGCTGGTTCATCACTCTATCTCAGCATTTTCCAACCTTTTTTTTGTCATGGCACCCTTTAAAAGTATGCCAATTCTTGAAGGCATCCTGGGCTAAAATGTACTGGATGTTAAGGGGTCCTCCCCCTCACACTGGATTTCCCCCCTACAAATCAGGAGCCCCTTCACATCAGAGCCCCCCACTTTAAAATCAGAGTCCCCCTTCACACCAGGTTCCCCCTCCTTTGACATCTGAGACCCCCCTCTCACAGTAGAAGCCCCCTTCATATCAGTGCCCCCCCCCTTTGTATCACAAGCTTTGCTTCACTTCAGAAGGTTTTTGTGGCACCCCTGAGGAAGCCAGAAGGTGCACCTGGATGGCACCTTGGTTAAGAAAGGCTGCTCTATCCCAATGTTATACACCTTGAATTCTCATATTAAACTGATTCTTCATCTTAAAATACAATGGGAGAATGCTTTAGGATTCTCTTTTATAGGTGAGCATTAGAAAAAGATATACCCCACATTCTTCATTAGTTTAAAAACCCTGAAGATTTCATACCATGTCTCCACTCAGTGATATAAGACAGCAGATAAACAACACAAAATGTTCCCCACCTCTAATAACAAATGTGGGAGCTACCTTCGTGAGCTAGATTCAACTCTACATACAGTATATAACGGGCCTGTCTGGTACATCCCTTTTTGTTGGAACGAAGTTAATTTCCATGAACTCAACCTTTCCTTGATTCATGTTGTTTCTGCTGCTATTTTGTTTCTGCTCCATAATGGTTTTAGAGATAGGAGACACTTGATGAAGTGGCTTGTTTGGTTAATAACATTCCAGCTCAGGGTCTTAGATGGCCCTGTTTACCACCAGTTTCATCTTTTAAATTTCATTACCCACTTGATTCACTCCCAGTTTTTTTAACCTATTATTTATGTACAGTATAAATAAGTGTTATCTATCACATAACTTTGGTACCAGCTACAAATACATATCTGGCAAATGTTTTGTCTGTTTAGTGGAATCTGTATGTCATGCTCCTTGTATTGTCTTTTTAATGTTCTTAAAAATGTCAAAAGTATGGAAAATATTTTAAAAAGTCATGCAGTAAAAATTAAAGAAATTAGGCACAAGAGGCTGGAGATTGGTTGTTCAAGGCACATGGTTGTGTAGATTGATACATATATTATTCAACATGTTACTGAGATTTTTTTCATGTTGACATAATTTTGTGTAATTTTATCGAATAATTGATATGTGTCATAGACTCACTATTATACACAAGCCTGTCTATGTGTACCTCTCACAGTTCAGGCACCTCTGGGTACATGTATTGCTTTAAATAGTTCAGCAGCATATAGATGTCAAGAAATGTTATCATAGGTTTGATCTACTGTAGTTTTTCTTCAATCATATTTATTTTGTTTTGCAGATAATTTTCAAAGCAGAAAGAGGCAGAGATCGAACGGGACAACTTGGCCTTGATGATGTCAGCTTAAAAAGAGGCCAGTGCACTAAAGCATAAAAGTCAACACAACTTTAGCTAAAGTGAATGACAACCCAGCACAGAGAGGGGCAGGAAATGGACATCAATCACCAGAGCTGTTGTGAAACAAGAGACAAAAATGTCACAACAATGGAGAACTAAAAACCCAGCATATGCTCCTCTTTGACAACGGGCACAAGAACTTGAAGATGGTTTGTTTCCAGAGAACATTTCAATGTACTATGGTTCCTAATACTGTACACACCCTACAAGAGACCATTTCCTGAGGAAGGGAACCCATTCAGTAGGAACTTTTCTGGTCCGGTGTGAAGATAATGCTTGCAATATATGTGCTCGAGCTTCTGAAAGTACAAACACCACTGATGACGATCATTATACCACTTATAGTGGAGGGAAAAGCTTTGTAAATGCATAATGTATACCTAAGTATTTATCAACAGAGATGAACTCCAAATTTTTATGGGAATAGCATGTTAATAAATTATGGTGAATAACTGTCAAGGTCAAACATCCACTCAGTCCTAATGGTGCTTTTCACTAGTTATTATTGGCTACAATGTTGCATAATTATTCTAAATCCATATTGGTGGCCTATTTAATCTGGAACATGCCTGCAGGAAAGGATCTGAAATTGGGATTTCTTTTCCCTATTTTGTAGATTGTGATGATGACAATTCAGTACTTACTCAAATGGTTGCTGCTTTACTCTTTCAGA